TTCGCGGTCCTATTATAATCAACGCGAAGCGTAAAGATAGAGGGAACGCCTGAGGGAGAAAATGAACTTAACTTTCCCGGCGCGATTTTCCGTTTCCCACGTGTTTCCCGTTATAGATCGACACGTGCGTGCTCCTCGCGGGCTCTCCGGTGCATTTCTTGGATGCGTACTGGAACGCTATTTCTCACTGCGAAGCGCAAGAGAGAGAGAGGGAGAGAGAGAGAGAGAGAGAGAGAGAGAGGCGTGTTACGGCTCGGCCGAGTTCCACATGTGCGCACACGAGTTATGGAATAACATAAATGTTTGTCGAAACCCTTCCTGTCTAATATAGCAGTCGCTAATTATATCCCCTTCCTCTATTTTTACGAACGCCTCGACGATTATTCTTCCGGCGTTACCACGGGATTCTACCGCGACTTTCAGGAAGCGTCGTGAGCCGCATATCTATCTCTCCGCAGAATGTACACGATACGATTGATTGCGCGTGGGTGGAGGGTGCGCGTCACGGTTCGTATCCGCGATTTTTTCCGATGCGTCATTCGGCGAGGAGGTTGCGAATTACTCTCGCAGGCTACTAATTCGCTGATCGAGGAAGGAATAAGGATGAAACGAAGCGGAACGTGAGCAGTTACGTGCTCTCCCCTGCCGACAGAGCCCGCGTGCGCGAGTATCCTTTGTGTGGAACCTATTACGATTTGTTCCGAAAATTTGGCTACGACGGGGAGAGGATACGCTATTCGTTAGTCCATAGGGGTAGTATTGTGCTCCATTATTGGGGTAAAGGCGTTGTAATAACGGCTCCCATTGTGTAGTTCTGTCTCCATGGACGAAGACGATTTATTTGGTCACATTGTAATATCCACTTATATAGTCTCTTTGTGGATTTAGGAGTCTACTGTGTATTTTACACGACAAACTCTCTGAACAATAGCATTCAACATCTTAACTGTTAGATTATTAACCCCTTGCGTTGCCATTTATTTGACGGATTTCTTGACATCTATTTAATTAACTCATTTTCGAGAAAACAAAAGTATACCTCGATTCACATCTGCTTTATACAATTTTGCAAATTTTTTTTAAATAGTTTTTTAAAGAGTTTTTTAAAGAATAGAAATGGAAGTGACACAGAAGTATACATTACAACTCAATTTACACCTCAATTAACACCTCAATTAACCCAATTTATACAATATCACCGAATTTTTTTGATGATTTCGCATTATTATATAATAATCAGATTAAGTCAAATTTCTGATTGGCACATTTGATTCGCGAGAGTACAACGTCTGGGAGAGTGTTATTCCAATACAGTGGGTTAACCGAGTTTCATGTTAGTCGAACTTCGTTAGCGGGAAATGTCGAGTGTTAAAAATCACGCGAGCGGAGCTGCTGCGTGCGGGGGACTCACGCGAAGGTGACAATATTGTGTCATCGCGTTTCCGACTTGTAACGTGTCACCGCAATGGCAATGCACGCGCGAGCAAGCGGCAGCTGGCGCAAGCGTAGTAGGCATCGGTGCATGCAGCAACCCCAAGTGCAATGCACCGTGAATAGGCTGCCTAGAAACAAATGCCATTATGCGGCGACAGTGATATACCTATAGCCGCGCTTCGCGGTTCCGCATTTGGTTCGCGTTGACGCGCGCGGTGCTCGTCCGCGAAATGAAATACCCGCCACAAAGAGAGTCAACTTACGTGCCACACCCCCTCGTCGCTCAATTAGCGCTCGACATAAAGCTGGCCACACACACTTTTCGTAACAGTAACCGTAAGACGTAACGTAAGAATTGACCAATCATATTGAGAATCGTGGAATCGTAAGGTCGTCATTCTTATGAATACTCGATCGCAATTGGTCAATTCTTACGTTACGTCTTACGGTTACTGTTACGAAAAGTGTGTGTGGCCAGCTTAACTGTCCGCGATCGCCGACTTTCATTCGTCTCGTACCTATCATAACTCGACGACTCCGACGTGCACCGGGAAACGAGTCGAGCTGTTAGAAAGCAGAAAGCTAATTCCGCGGTTTTCGCGCGATGATCATCGCCGCGCCGATCAAACTTCTTTCTTCCTACGAAACGAAAAGCGAAAGAACGCGAAAGGAGATTGGAGCTATGTCATTCTCGGGATTTTCGTCCGTGACCGAAACGGCCCGATGAAGTCGATACGAGTGAAGTGAGCGTGGAAATAAACGACGAAATGCCACGACAGATATACGCGGTCGATATCTGTCGCATAGCGGGCCGCTTATATCCCGAGTGCATAGCGTTTAATCCAATTTGAGACTGCTGATAGGAGTTACCGAGTCTTAGAGCGCGCGCTATCGATTCAACCTTATATACATTCACGCGAAATGTCGGAACGAGGAGAAACGCTTAAAAGATCATTAGACATATGGGTCACGAGTCACTTTACACACAGCAAGCGGATTCTGTGCGGCGATGTGAGAATAATGCATCTACCTGTTTATTTTCTTGGCTTTATCGCAATCGAGCTGTCTGTTGCATTTATCTCGTAAGGATTTGTTATTTTTGGTTGAGATACATGTTGCCGCACGTATGCTTGTACGCGGTAGACGAGCCACTTGTCAATTTGAATATCTGAAAAGTTTCGAGAGGCAAAAGGATATTCAATCGTGTTAATTTTCAAGGTAATTATGAGGGTTTGTATAAGGCTTTAAAGGGACAATCTTATTAAAGAAAGATGAAGGGGGTTGACCAATAGATTCTTCTCTACACTGAGAAGAGAGATACTTAAAACAAAAGATATTTATTCGGTGGGTACTAATGTTTACTTAAACCTAAATTCTTTTATTTATAAATAGAATAGATAATTGTTTCCACGAAAAAAATTTAAGTTTTGAGAAAATTTATATTTTTTTATCTTGAAAAATATTTTATATTAATGTAAATAAATGTATTATAGTATCCATCGAATAAAAATTTTTTATTTTTTAGATATTTTCATTTCTCTCAGTGTATATTTGATTTCAGGAAAAAAAGAAATGGTTTGCAAAAAATTTTTGTGCAAAAATATCGGTTTCATCAAATTGATATAATTTAAATGTATAAAATAAAATCTGTGAGAAAAAAGAAGCGAGTTATTCAGCATTCGCTGAAGATATCTCGAATATTTATCTCAAAAGAGTCCGGGGGAGGCCGCGTGGTTCACGATCGATTCTCTCCCTGGACCTTTCTTTCCGACAAGCACACAAAGAACGACCTCACCTAACATTGTCACGACCGGCAGATGCGTTACGCATCACGGCCGTCAGCTGCTCGCTCGTTCGTTCGTTCGTTCGTCGCTCGCTCGTTCGCTCGCCCTCTCGCTCCCTCACGTACGCACGTACGCACGCAACGGGTGAGCCACGTGGTCGTTTAAATGCGCGCTGACGCGCGCCAACAAGGAGCGAGCTCGGCCGTTTAGCGCTCCGCCACGCCGTGCCAGTTTTTCGCGGCTGTTCCCTGACTTGTACAGCGCGCGTTACCTCTTTTACGTTATAAGTTGCGCCACAACGGTGCACCGTTATTCACGTTCGCGTCTTACTTTGCTCCCCTCGTGAAGATTAAAGTCGCGACGACGAGGATAATTAAAGCCGCGCTTTTTCCTTGTTCCGAGTCGTGTCGTTCCGTGAATAAGATCGACTAGGGATTATAGTGCGCCTCTACGTCGATGATATATGTTCTCATGAATTCAACATCTTTATGAGGTCAGTGATCTTTTTGAGATGTGCTCGTCAAGTGATAAGAGCTTGTAATCTGCGTCGCATATTTCCTCGATGGCAACAGACGCTTGTATTTTAGGTTGGATTTCGTCGTGTTTGTTAAGTGAAATATAGAAACCGAAATTATCCAACTTTGAAGGAGATTCATAATTTTCACGAATGAAATTAACGTTAACTTAACATTTTGTTACAGATCTACGGGCAAGAACTGAGAGACTCTATTTTACTTTTAATATTCAAATTCTCTTTCGAGAATTTAATCTCTTTAGAGAAATGACAAATCCACTAGCACCGACCTAGTATTACGCGTATTATAGCGCGCCTGCGATTGCTTGTGATGTAAGAGCAGTATATATCACGTACATACACGTAATAGCTTCGGTAATGTTAAATGACAAAGGTGCTTTCTCACGGGCCTACTGGCTTATTCGCGTTTCTTTCGCTCGAACGCACATAACGGAAACGAATATACCAGACGAGAATCCTTAGGCGGGACAATGCTTGGTTGTCATTCGACGGAATGAGCGTTTTCTCTGCTGTGTTTGTTGTTCTTTGTTTTCTCAAATGTGTCTTTCGTACAGTTTGTTATCTGCTGTTAGACACCCGTTTATGACGAGCGGGCCGTCTAGGCGAAATTCTGAATTGACGCAAACACCTTCGATGTTACACCTGCGCGCGTCATTTTGCGCGAAAGTCGCATCGATAAACGTATAAATCTCTCTTATCAGATGAAGCCGATGCGCAGGTGACCGCGCGATTTGCATCGAATCGCAACGATCGTCCCTCGGATACCCTGACTGTACTTTTCACCTGGTCGGTCTGTCTTCCTCTCTCGCTCTTTCTCTCGTTTGTGACGGTGAGCCCGCGTAGGATCGACCAGTTATCCTCGCGGGTCTGATGTATCTGTTACGGTGAAAGTCGCTCCCGCTTCTCGGCGCGCAGCGCTGCGAGCCGCAATTCACCCGCACATCGTGAAACAGATGATCTTATCCGCGGCGAAACCGTTGCAAATCGGACGCGCGTAACGCTTGTAACTCGCATCAAACTGCATCGAGCGCGGAGTTTACCTGCTCACTCTTACTATCTCGATACACTTCGCGCGTATCAATTCTATCCGCTCCGGAATGGGTGAAATTTATTCCATTACGTTCGGAATATTATCGTAACTCCGGTATATTAAAATGACCGACTTTTATTAAACTATCATAAATCATAGAATGTTGCAATTAAAAATGATTGAAATACTCTAACCCTTTCTCTTATTCTCGTTGCAGGTCAGTTTAGCTGGATACCACCTGGTAGCCAGGAGGCGAGTGAGATAAAGACAGGTGGCACGGGAAGAAGGTAAAGCCAGCAACGGTAAGAAGTGATCAGTACCATGGGAGCGCGACAGAGTAAGAGGTCTGTGGATATAACGACGACGCCGAAGAAGGAGGGTTTACCCGCTGAAGGAGGCGTCGTCGGCGACGCGGCTGCACCTGGCGACGGCAAGCTCGAGAGGATCGAGGAGGCCGACACGAAGCCTACCACCAACGGCATAGCACCGCACACGGAGGCACCCGAGGATAAAGAGAAAGACAAGGATGAGGCTAGCGAGAAGGAGAAAGAACCGGTGAGTTATTCTTGATTCTACTTTCCGTCGCGTCGATGCGCGTCTGATACTCAATCTGAAATGTCGAACTCTTATATTAATAGTTGTCACCTTAATAACTAGTCTCGTGTGAGACGCTCAGATTTCTATTCAGAGTTAAGGGAATTGCTGGAGTCGCGATGACGAAAAATATCGATAATGCAGATACGATCGTCACTAACACAATCACGCTATCCTTTTTGTATTTTTTGTACATGTAGAACTTACGTTATGTGTTGCTTTGTTTTACCGTATTCAGCGGAAAATCTAACCACATATGTGTAGAAATCTTTCTGCAAACTTTTCCGATATTCTTAAGCTTCTGAATTCAGATGCAAAGGTACAGCAATGTTCTTCAACATTTTTCTGTTTGAAGCACCCACATTTTCAGTACGTACAAGCTGCGGAACTTTTGGAAGTATTTGTAATTCTGTACAATCAATACGACGTAAACTTCGCAGAAAAATATCAGTATTTTGTCGATAAAGTTTTCAGCATCACTCTAAGTTCAAGTTTTTCAGTAGAATTATGATGTATGTGACATTTATATTTGCAATCGTGCGATTCGGCTGAAAAATTATCTTCTAACTCTGAATTCAAGTCTGAGGTCCATATTAATAGTCGTTATTTGAAATTCTTCTCGAATGAAATAATTAGATTCGAATTCAGTGTTAGATGAGAGTTTTTCAATTGGATCGCGATTACAGATATAATGTCATATATATCATATAATTTTGAAAAAAACTTGGATCTAGTTCTGAGTAGAAATCTGAGTGTCTCACGTGAGACGAATTTCAAATAACGACTATTAATATAGACCTAAGTATTTCACTTGAAAGACGAGTTTCAAGTAGTAACTATTAATACGAGTCTAAGACTCTCAAGACTGACTTTCATTGTGCGAAGAATGTTCCTGATATTTTCAGATTTAAAATTAATTAATATAAAGGTGTTCTTTTAGATTATATAACTTTTTAAAGAATGTTGCAAAAAGTGCACCGAATGGTCTCGGAGATTTGACGTGTTTTTGCATAGTAAAAATTGTTAAAAGTTTAACATAAATTAAAAAAATGTCGGTTTTAATACACGGAACTTTTTATTGTGTAATCGAGCATTTCTTCGATCTTTCGTGTTGAATTAATGTCGATGAGTAAAGTGAATAAAGTTTTCTTAGTCAAATCTCTGAGTTCTTGTATGCATGCATCTGTGTGTCTATAAAATTAAAATCGTATTAGATTGTGTAGAATAAATTATTTGCACAAGTGATTCGGTCCGAGCAATATAATGTTTACGTCCAATCGCTAATTTTTCAGTATCAATCGCATGTTAATATTTTGTTAAAATACATTCTTCCGTAATTAACGAGCGAGTTTGTCCAGAAGAGAGTATTATTGATTCAAATTCCGGCTCCGATGTTTATACATAGCTGGCGTTCTATCGTCGGCTTGCGATATATATTTGTTCGTTGATTACACTATCTCGATCATGTCACGCGTGGAATTATTTTTCTCGAATATGTGACAAACTTGGCCGTTTATCCAATGACGCGTTCACCGACGCGCAGCAACATCCGCTAATTTCGCACTTCGCGAAATAATTGACATTCTCGAATTGCATGACGGTGAATCACTCGTTCAATTATCGAATAGTTTTTCTATGATCTCGCTCGTATACGGATTATAATGGAGCTATAATGGGACACGTGCTGAATCGCGTATTTGCTCGTAAAACTCAGGCATTCGGGAATGACTTTCGCCGAAGCAATTCATCCAGTGCATTGCGAAGACAGCGCACGCATCAGCGAGTCATCAATCTTAATCGACTCGTCGAAAGTGGCGTGTCGTCATAAGTAATATATCGTTACACCTTTTCGAGTCGCAGAGATATTTTATGTCACGTTAGTGCTGTTTATCAGTAGTTTTATCATTAAAAAAACATTTGAGAGCGAAACGACGGCAACAAGTTGGGACATCGTATTTCCTAAAATATAAGGGATCACAGTAGATAGCTGTATCACTTAATGTCGTCATATCGCGTAAGGTATTTTCAAATTATTTTTAAAATTTTAAATAATATTATTAAGATAATACACTGAGAGAGAAGAAATATCTAAGAAATAAAAAAAATTACGATAGCTATTAAAAATGTATATTTGTACTGATATGCATATGTTTACGTTGAAGAAAAAAATTTCTTTCAAATGAGAAAGTATATATTTTCTAAAATCACCGTCGCTTTTCACGAAATCCATTGTTTGCTCTATTTAAACAAACAATTTAGATTCAAGAGAATATGTTAGTACCCATCGGATAATTATGTTTTATCTCATAGATCTTTTTCTCTTAGAATGTGTACAGAGCACACAGTGTTTGACGTCAGAATGTGTGATGATGTGTGATGATGTGTGAAGTAACACTCTTGAATGTCTCAAAAATCAGTTTGAGAAAAATCCTCCTAATAAGAGTTGTTTTAATGAAATTATTTATTTATTTACTCGCTAAGAATTAGGAAATCGCTGTGCCATATAGAAACTCGTTTTATTTTTTCCGTCTTGGTCAATATCTTGTCGTGTTTGCGAAGAGTGATTTAGCATGAACGAGAAGAGCGTGGCGTGAATTGGGCTTTGCGCGGCACGCGAGCGCGTCAAGTGTCTCGCTCGCAACATCCGGGCTTGACTATTCTGAGCGTGACCTAGGTGAAATGTTACTTCGCCAGTTGCTGAGAGCGAACCGCCCTCGATAACGATCGATTTCCCGTTCGCACAGAGACAGTGCCGATGAAATCGCAAATCAGCGTTAAACTGTTCGATTATTACCGCGGCTATTTTACTTCCCATGATTGGTACGTCTCGGTCACTCAATGATCACTCAAGTGCACGATCCGATAGCCGATAACCATCATGTTACATAAGACATGACATAAATGGGAAGCCTGGATGCGCGCTTATCGACGCGTACGATTAATCGCGCATTACGTGTCAACGGATTACACGAGTACCTTTTGCATCAACGCAAAGGAGAGATAGCGAAAGCGGTTCATTTCAGTTCGCGTTCACGCACGAGATCTCATTTGACGCGTCTACGATTCATTCATCAGTTTTTGCGATTTTATCGTGAAATTAGATGATCTTCATGTGTTACGCGCTCACGACGCCGAAAATTGCAAATTGCGAAAGTCCGCATCAGATTTTTCCTGTATGTAATTTTTATTCTCTGCATCATTTTATGAAACCATGCACTGAGAGAAAAATACTTGAAAAATAAAATTATTTATCCGATATGTGCTATAATAATATTTATATAAATTCTTTATCTAAACTCTTTCGTTTAAGAAGAATAAGCTATTGAAAGCTATTGAAAACTATTTTTTTGCAAAAAACAATAGTATGGCGTTATTTTAGAAAAATATTTTCTCTTTTGAAAACAATTTTTTTTTTCAATGTAAAAATACGTATATTAGAATAAGTACATATATTATTGATACTTATCGAGTAAATATTTTTTAAATATTTTTTTCTCTCAGAATAAAAGTGATTTGGAAATATCGAAATTCGGAGTTCGTGCGCGATCTCTGAGTGCACTTCCGAATTTTTCCGACTTTCGATTATCCGCGACTCTTTGGCCGAAAGACTCCGTTGGCGAGCGCGTTTCGCGGCGTATCGATTTCGTCCGAGTCGAATCTCATAAACGCAGGTTTATAGGTTGAAATACTTCGCCGGCTAGATGAAACTCGATATTTCCCCGATTGAGCAAGCTTGCGGCAGCAGCTGTCACGCGCCAGATACGACGACACGCGAGAGAGAGCACATCTTACCAACCTTCCGCTTCTTTCTTTCATTTCCCTGCGACAAGCCGTTCCTGTTCCTCCGTCGTTCCTATCTTCGTCGATTTAAAGCGTCATTTATCCCGAGTACTCGAGCGAATGTTTCTCTTTTGCATCGTCTTGGGACGTCTCGAGTCCAGAGAAACGTAGGAATCTTGTTCCGAGACGATCAACACACGATCCCTCTCCTTCTCCCAATCAATGATTCCATTTGTAACATTCCACTGATGATATTTTCTCCGCGTATCGCCTTAACACATTTACTTTCTCTCTTTTTTTAATAGGTAAGATAAAAGTACCAACGTTTACTTGAACATAACTCTGAACATTTTTATTGCTTTGATCTTTACATTTGAATATTTAAACTTTCAACATAGAATATATGTATTCTATGTATTGAAATTTTACATATTTATATTTGTATATAAAGACCAAAGCAATAAGAATGCTCACTGAGAAGAGAGTGAAAAGTAAAAAAAAATGTAGGTAAAAAGGAGTCGTACATGTAGGCAGTTCGCTAATACTGAGTTAGAGGCGTTAGTGGTGCTTTTTCTGACTTCATATTAAGGCATGTTACACACATACACGTCTAGTATGTATATATATGCATGTTCAGTTTACTCACTTATAGTCAAGCAGACAATACTAACGCCTCTAACGAATTATTCGGGAATTAGTATCGTTGCCTTTTTTACCTTATGCCAGTGTATGTACAGTCGAATTGTAGTTTTTAAATTTTTTAAAATTTATTCTTCTAAATTGTATTCTAGCGATCTTACGTTTTCACAGGCCGTCTGCGTGGCATTCAACTTTCACTTTACGTAAACTCTCCATTTTTACATAAAGTGAAAATAGAATGTAGGGTCAGTTAGAAATGTCATATAAATCGGTAGTCACAAAAATTTGTTTTACATTTCGTGTAACACGGACTGCAGCGCTATACATTAACATATGTACATTCAAGCCGTACAAGGATTTGCAATTCTGTGAAGTCAAAGAATAAAAATTTGCAAACTACGAGAGCTGTTAACGATCACGGCTCCGACATTTCCTTAATCGATCTCAGATTCCTTCGAGGGTGAAGCGTTTGGCTGTATATAAGCGGTCTGCGAAGACGTGGCTCGTCTAGACCTCGCGGAAAATCAGGTTGAGTCGCGTTT